TCATCATCATCATCATCATCATCATCATCATCATCATCATCATCATCATCATCATCATCATCATCATCATCATCATTACAGTTAAGATCATTGCTTTTGAAAAAATATTAACTGTTAATTTTCATTTTATTTTTAAATAGATTGTAAGTATTTTCATAATCGTTATTATGATTACGGCCAATATCATTGTTTTTGAAAAAAATATTAACTGTTGATTTTCATTTATTTTAAATAATAAATAGGCTGTAAGTATTTTCATCATCATCATCATCATTACAGTCAATATCATTATTTTTGGAAAAATATTAACTGTTGATTTCGATTTTATTTTAAATAATAAATAGTTGGCAAGTATTTTCATCATTATCATCATTATCATTATTACAGTCAATATCATAAATATTAACTGTTGTCTTTCATTTCATTTTAAATAATAAAATAGGCAGTAAGTATTTTCATCATCACTATTACAGTCAAGATCATTATTTTTGAAAAAAATATTAACTGTTGATTTCGAATTTATTTAATAATAAATAGGCTGTAAGTGTTTTTATCATCATTATCATTATTACAATCAATATCATTAAATATTAACTGTTGATTTTCATTTTATTTTAAACAATAAATAGGCTGTAAGTATTTTCATCATCATTATCATCATTATTACAGTCAATATCATTATTTTTGAAAAAATATTAACTGTTGATTTTCATTTTGTTTTAAATAATAAATAGTTGGTAAGTATTTTCATCATAATCATCATAATCATCATTACAATCAATATCATTAAATATTAACTGTTGATTTTCATTTCATTTTAAATAATAAAATAGGCGGTAAGTATTTTCATCATCATTATTACAGTCAAGATCATTATTTTTGAAAAAATATTAAACTGCTAATTCCCATTTCATTTTAAATAATAATAGGCGGTAAGTTTTTTCATCATCATTATCATTATTACAGTCAATATCATTAAATATTAACTGTTAATTTTCATTTCATTTTAAATAATAAAATAGGCGGTAAGTACTTTCATCATCGTCATTATCATTATTGCAACCAACATCATTATTTTTGAAAAAATATTAACTGTTGATTTTCATTTCATTTTAAATAATAAAATAGGCGGTAAGTATTTTCATCATCGTCATTATCATTATTACAGTCAATATCATTAAATATTAACTATTGATGTTCACTCCATTTTAAATAATAAAACAGGCGGTAAGTATTTTCTTCATCATTATATTACTACATTCAAGATCATTATTTTTGAAAAAATATTAACTATTGATTTTCATTTTATTTTAAACAATAAATAGGCAGTAAGTATTTTCATCATCATAATCATTATTACATTCATATCATTAAATATTAACTGTTGATTTTCATTTCATTTTAAATTATAAATAGAGTGTAAGTATTTTCATTATTATTATTATTACTAACAGTCAATACAATATCATTGTTTTTGAAAAAATATTAACTGTTGATTTTCATTTTATTTTAAATAATAAATAGCACGTAAGTATTATTTTCATCATCATTATCATTAGTCAATATCATTGATTTTGAAAAATATTAACTGTTGATTTCATTTTATTTTAAATAATAAATAGCACGTAAGTATTTTCGTCATCATCATTATTATTGCAGTCAATATCATTGTTTTTGAAAAGTATTAACTGTTGATTTTCATTTTGGTTTAAAGAATAAATAGGAAGCAAGTATTTTTATCATTGTCATCATTAGGCGTTCAAACTTGAAGTTCTGTTTAACATCACCACCCATTTTTTTTCGGAAATTTGGAATTTAAACTAAAGAATTTTTATTTTTCTAAAAGATGTTAAACAGATTTCTAAATTTGAACGGCTTTATTAAAATCAAATATTTTTGAAAAATATTAACTGTTAACTTTCATTTTATAATAGAAAGCAATGAAAAAAAAAAAAATAATGTAAAACATTAATATTAAGTTTGTAAGTATTTTCATCATTATCATTACATTCAATATTTTTGAAAAATATTGACTGTTGATTTTCATTTACTTTAATAATAAATAGATTGTAAGTATTTTCATCATCATTATTATGATTACGGCCAATATCATTGTTTTGAAAATAACTGTTGATTTTCATTTTGTTTTAAATAATTTAAATAATAAATAGTTGGTAAGTATTTCATCATCATCATTATGATTACAGTCAATATCATTTGTTTTTGAAAAAATATTAACTGTTAATTTTCATTTTATAATAGAAAGCAATGAAAAAAAAAATAATTTATTATTAATTACAAAAAATTGTTCCTCAAGAATAATTAATTTATATTGTTCTCATTTATTATTTTACTTTACTTTCGTCTTTTTATTACATTTATTCATTAAGTTATATTTATATATAATATTTTTATTATTGATTCAATAAACAATATTTTTATAAATTAATTCATATTGTAATGGATAAAACCACTTTTGAAACCGACAATTATGCAAGCTGATAAACAAAGAGATCTTTTTACATATCATGTGATAACGTGCATTGTATTACATGAAAAGTATACTAACGTAGAGATATTCTTTCGGGCCACCTTTTATATTCAGTTGCAACGCCCTTATTTACTAGAGATACTGGACGCGAAAATAGTTGCAATCATCGTCAAAAATAGTGCGATGTTGCAAGTCGCAAACCGTATCGCAATTGTTGATTGGTTGGTCGATGTAAATATTTTATGTATTTTACATAATATTCTGTTTTAATTAAGGAACGAAACTCTTTCTTTTGTGTTTTAAATATAACCATCCCGCTTAATAGTGCAAGTTATCTTTAAATGTGACCTTTTGGTTTTTGAATGGGTCAATTTTCATGTCGATTTATTGCTCAATTTTTATATAAATTTCACAAACATTTTTGCGATATGCAAATTGATATGAAAAGCAAGCTTGCTTATAAAAAAAAATATGGTGCAAGAGGACCCCGCAAACTTCATAGATAGGTTAGTGTGCAGCTGGGTCAAATTAATATATTGATTAAATTTCAATTAACTTAGTGTTGGGGTCAATCAAATTATTATATTGTACATCAAAAAGGTTGGTTAGGTTTAAGAGGATCAAATATATTAGTAGTCAACGATCGTTTGATAATAAAATCAAATTAATATTAATATCTGCAGCACATTTAGTTATCGAAACATTTATGATTATGGTTATTCGAATATTTATGACTATTTAAAATTCCATCCATTGCTATTATCAAAAGTCTTCTTATGTATTTCGAATATTCCAAAGGAATGAAAGATCATTGTCAAAGCTCTCTTGTTCCTTTCACACAATCAAGACTAATTTTTATTGGCTGATCGGAAGGAACAAATTTGTTGTTTCCATTAAACGATCCAAAAAAAATTCTGAAAAAAAAAAAGACATTTGAGTTTTGTGAATTAGGCTAAAAATGAAAACAAAAAACCAGTTCAAAAATAGCTTCTGCTAAGCTAATAATGATGAACAACAACAATAAAGTGTTCATTCAGGTCCAAAAAGCAAGCTTCTACTAATAATGACGAAATATCCAGTTCAAATAGTAACTTCTTCTACTAATAATGATGAATTACAACAAAGTGTTTATCTGATTCAAAAGGCAGCTGCTTCTACTAATAATTTACATCATCAACATCATCGTCAAATCCTTTCTAGTTTATTTTGCAGAATTTCCACATAAATTCTAGAACGTAGATCATCAGAGTATTTGGAAATTCCCGTGTTTGGAAATTTCCCTGACTGCATTCAAATTTTCTAAATATAGGATTGAAGATCTTTGAAACGTTGTTTCTTCTTTTATAATACAAGACAATTCAAATTCAATTTGATTAGAACAACATGATGAAATCAATAATTAAATTTAGGATCGATTGTTTTATTTATTATAAATAAGCGAACTATTTCGTCTTTAAAAAAAAAAAAAAGAAAAAAAAGAAATCCTAATTTTTTTCAAACTCATTTTTTTTATATTTTACCTTCTTTAATAAATATACAATTAATTAATAATTATTGAGTAATTATTTTTTAATTAATAAATTTAAAAAAAATGAGTTTGAAAACTTACGTTACAAATAAAGTTGTAGATCATGTTTTAGAGAAAACATCCAACATACCCAATGCACCACCCAATGCAAAAATAGCCAATAATTTCAACAATTACATTAATAGTGATAACATTAATAGCATTAATAATATTAATAAGAATTTCAACAATCACATTAATAATAATAATAATATTAACAAAAATTTCAACAATTACATTAATAATAATAATATTATTAACAAGAATTTCAACAATTACATTAATAATAATAATAATATAAACAAGAATTTCAACAATTACATTAACAACAACAACAACAACAACAACAACAACAACAACAACAACAACAACAACAACAACAATAATAGTTTTAACAATAATAATAATAATAATAATAATAATAAAAGTAATGGTAAAAGTAAAAAAAATAAATGGAACATTCCAGCTGGATTAACAGAAAAAGAGGCAAAAACATTAAAAATTGTTAAAAAAAGAGCACATTATTTAGATAATGGATTTTGTTCGATTTGTGGAATTAGAATTGGACTAGAACCAATTATTGGTAAATAATCAAATTATATTTGTTAAATTGACTTGATATATATTTTTATTGAATTTATCTTTATTTTATCTAGGATGTTTACCAGTTATTGGTGATTTTATGGGGGTTTGGTTATCACTAATGTTGGTGAAGAAATCAAGAGAGATTAATTTACCACAATTTCTCATATTTCTAATGTTGTTGAATATATTTGTTGACTTTATGGTAAATTTACATATATTGTTTAAAATAAGATTTCTTTACATTATATTAAAAAAAAAAATTTTCTGACAAAAATTTTCCTTTTTTTTAGTTGAGCTTAACACCATTTTTGGGAGATTTTATAGATTTTTTATATAAAGCGAATTCAAGGAATGTAATAATATTAGAACAATATTTGATTTCAAAAACAAAAAACAAAACTTCAAAGATTGAAAATGGTTCAATTGGATTTCAAGAGAAACAAAATAATTAATAATTAAATAGTAGAACTGTTAATTATAATAATTATAATAATCAACACACTTATATATATATTCACATGTATATTTATACAAAATAGAAAATTTTCATGTACACAAAAAAATGATTAATAATAATAAATATTTAACATCTCTTTCAATTTTTAAGTATGAAAAAATTGTTCGTTTGGTAATTTAAGCAAGACAACTTCTCCATTGTCTTTTGTCAATGAAAATTCCAAGACTTTCCAATTTCTTTCCAATGGAATACGGATTGCACGAAAATGAATTTTACCTTTAGCTGTTAAATTCATAATCATATCATATGCAAATACCATTAAATTATGCATAAAATTTATTAATTAATATTATAATAAAATCAACCTACCTTTATTTCCTTTCACAGAATATTTCACATCCACCTTTCCTTTCAAAATATTAACTTTTCCAATAACCCAAGGCCAACTTGAAGAAAAACCAATATTATTCCCTAAAGTTTCTATGGCTAATGGATTCTTTTTAATATGAAGTAGACTTGTTTGAATTATATTGTTGTTGACACGTTCATAATTAAAAAAACAAACAGTCGCCACTATCCACATTGAAACACCAACCACCCCATAGAAAACACGTTTAGCCTTTTCTTTTTCTAATTGTGGTAAAGGTTTCGGTTTTCTAGTAGTAAAGCCCTTAATAGTAGTGGTGGTAGTGGTGATAGTGCCATTATTATTAATGGAATTTTTGATTGTTGAAACTGTTGAAAAATAGCAAATTTTACTATTGTTATTATTGTTACTAATAAAAGATTTTAAATTGATATTTTTATTATGTATTGTGATGGATTGATTCTGAAAAAAAGATCTGTTTAAAGCTTTGAAAGGATTTATTATTATTATAGGTTTACGAATTAAAATCATTTTTTTTATAAAGAAAATTTTTTTTTTATGAATCTCTACAATTTTATATTTGATATCATCATCCAATCACAAGTCACCTACTACGGATTACAGCATTTATAATTGATATCATCATCATTAGCTATTTATTTATTGTTTGTTTGCACAAATTTTAATATAAAAAAAGGATAGAGGTTTGTGGTAATTTATTTTATTAATTTTAAAGACAAAGGAAAGAATAATGAAGGAATACTTTAAAAATTGGAAATTTTATTTAATAGATGCAAAATTAAAAAAAGAAAAAATCGAATTTTTACAAAATTTAATTGAAAATGTTGGTGGTGAAATTGTTAATAGTGTCAACGATGCAGATGTAATATTGACGATCTTAAAATCTCCTGCAAGAATAATAAGATATATTTCACCTGAATTAAGCAAATTAATCTTATCGATTGATTGGATTGAGGAATGGTTGGTAAATTTATTAAAAGTAATAATAATAACAGCAATGATAATAATAAATTAACTAATTTAATAGCAATAGAATTGGCGAGAGAGCTCCCTATGATAATTTTTTGATTTCATTACAAAAAAATGAAAGAAAAGATACACAAAGTGATCCGGATTCTCGTAGTAGCATTACAAGCAATTCAGAGGATGGTGGCAATAAATCAGATGCAGAAGGTTTTTATTTTCACCTTTACACCTTGACACATTTTCCGCATTTACACTTATTTGTATTATCCCATTTGATAATCAAATTTTTAGTGTTGTCAGACGGTGAAGAAGAATTAGATTCTAGATTTTTAAATACAAAATATGCTTGCCTTCGTCCCACACCACTTGCATCTCAATATAATCAATCCATTATAGAATTCCTTTCAGTTTTAGAACGATCAAGAGAACTTAATGGTGAACATGCTAGCGCATTAGGTTATCATAGAGCAATAGCGGCTTTAAAAGTATAAACATATTAATAATTCATTTTTGGATAATGAGGGTAATTACTTTTATTAATTATTATTATTATTATTATTATTTATAATGATTTAGGCTTACCCACGCGATGTAAAAAGTTATAAAGAGGCCATGAAGATTAAAGGTTAAAAACCGTTTTTTTTTCTTATATAGTTGAAAGGCCGTTATCATAAACGATAATGATAATAATGAATTATTTTAAATTTTAATTCTGAAAAGGTATTGGTGATAGGATTGGAAATCTTATTAAAAAATATTTTGAATTGGATACAATCCCTGAAGCAGAAAAAATACTGGATGATCCTAGATTCCTAACATTGGATTTATTTACACGTGTTTTTGGTAATATATTTTACAAGGGGGTTTTTAATTTTTTGAATAATAATAATAATAATAGTATATATTTATTATATGCCGTAAGGCGTTGGAACTAAGAAAGCAAACGAATGGTATAATAAAGGATACGAGACAATAGATGATTGTAAGAAAGATCCAAATTTAACAAATGTACAAAAAATAGGATTGGAAGTGTTTGATGATTTTCAGAAAAAGTACAATCCACAAATTATTATTATTATTTGAAATAATATTATACCTATATTATTATCTAATCGTTCACTACCTTTATTTTAGAATGACACGTGAAGATGTTGAAGAAATTTTCGAAATTTTGAATAAAGAAGTCAAAAGCATTGATTCACAATATTTCTTAACAATTGTTGGTGGTTATCGTAGGTAACTAATAAATCAATTATATATATAATAATTTAAATATATAAATAAGCTTTCCAAATTTTTAATTTTAGAGGTAAAGAATTTAATGGGGATTTGGATGTGATATTATCGCATCCTGAAGAAGAATTAGAACCATTTATATTAAAGAAAATAGTGAACAGACTTGCTGATAAAGGTTTTGATTAATAAATAAATAAATATAATTTTTTTTTTCTTTTTTAAAAAAAAATATATTGCAACTAAAAAATATCTTTTCCCTTCCCTTCAAGGTCTTTTAAAACATAAACTTTGGTATAGTGAATCATCAAGTGCACGTAATTCAAAATATATAAAAGGTGGATTGTTAAAACGACGTAAAAATATAATGGATAGGCTTGATAAGGTTTTTGTTACATATATAAAGAATATTAATGTTAATTAGTTTTTACCTTTGATATTTTTAATTAAAAAAAAATCTATTATTAGTGTTTTATTGCATTTTGGCAACAGAGTGCAAATATACATCGTCAAGTTGATATAATTATTGCACCCAAAAGTCAGTATGCTACGGCTGTATTGGGATGGACAGGTAGGCATCATTATCATTTATATATATATATTTTTTTTTTTTTGAAAAAATAATAATATGAAAACATTTAGGATCTCGACATTTTGAAAGAACTTTTAAAGATTATGCAAGAAAGGTAATATAAATATATCTGTATTCGTATTCGTATTTATATACAGGAATATAAAATTATTAATAAAAAACAATTTTTTAATAGGAAAAGGGAATTATTTTTGCGTCACACGGACTTTTCACTAATACTTGGCCACGTAAACGTATCGATGCTTCAAGTGAAAAAGAAATATTTGAATTGGTGGGTATTCCTTGGTTGGAGCCCGAGATGAGAAATTGTTAGAAAACGGAGGGAGGTTTGCACGTTCAAATTTAATATATTATTAACATTGATGCATGATTTTCATCAGATGTATAGATATCCATCTGATATTATTCAATCAACAAATAATTTTATTAAACTAAAATTACAATACTATATTAAAATTATATTATTAAATCATTAAAAAATTTATTACTTTGTTATTTCATTATTTCACCATCACCACCATCATCATCGCAACCACATTTATATTTTTCAGCAATTAATCCACAATCAAATATTTTTTTATATAACCTTTTGTTAACAATATTATGAACAGCACATGCCCATTGAGATGCAGCTTCCCTTGATGATACTTGGGGGGGATATTTACTAAGAATTTCTTGAAACTCTGTGGCACTAATTATTTCATCAATTTAATGAGAATAGTTAAATATCTATATTTTTATTTCAAACTTTCACAAAAAATTTCTTACCATTCACCACAAGGATATAATCTACCAAATAAATAAATAAAACTTCTTAATGCTTGCTTGTGATCTTCTGTAGGATGTTCAGGAAATCTTGCCATCATTGTATGTAATAACTTTTTTTTTAAAAAAAGAGATCTAAATTAATTAATTATTTATTTATTTCATAATCAATTAAATTAAATTGATTTAACCTTTACCTTCCAACTACTACGTCCAAGCTCAGCTCTACAATAAATATTTATTTATAAATTTATTTATTCACAATTAAAAAATTTTGTTTTTTGTTAAATCAATAAAATTAATAAACATACTTTATGGTCGCGTTTCCCAACAATGGCATTACAACAGAGCCATGAATAACCTTAGAAGAAATGTCGGGAATATCATTGTTGCTGTTGTTGTTGTCGTTGTCGTTGTTGTTGTTAGATATTAAAGATGATTCTAAATCTGTTAAATAAGACTCATTTTCTCGGGTTTGAATGCTTGAGTTTAAATAAATAAATGTAGGTGAGATTATAACTATGACTATTATAAAAAAAATTGATAATGGTCGCATAATTATAATTTTAAATAAATTTAAAAATTTATAATAAATTTATTTATATACAGGTTTTTGATTGTATTACAAAAATATTGGCTGATCTTGGCTTTTTATAAAATTAAACGAAACTGTCTTCTGACTCTTTTGTTCGTAGAATTTGTCAAAGTATTTTCTGATAAATCACCATTTAAATCCAATAGTCTCTATAACCGAGCAAAGAAACAAAATGGTAGTTCAAACTCAAAACTAGAAAGCAAAATTCAACAAATCAAATTAAGCCAGATAAAACCTGAACAACCGAGTGAAAGTAAAGGTGAAAGAAAAGTAAGCCAAATACGATTTCATGTTTTTGGATTAATTGCTCCAATTATTCTGTATGGAACCGTATTGCATTGGTAGTAAAATTGTGATGACTCGCTGAAATCCTTTTTAGTACAAATGTTCACTTTATCTGGTTTTGTTGCAGTATGCTCCATATAACAAAGCAGGTTATTATAAAGAAATAAAAGATAAATTACTTAATTAGATGATGTTTTAAAAGTTAACGTATAATATTTACCTTTATATAGTTTAGCTAAATATTAAATCACTATATAAAATCCTATTATTATAAAAATATCAGAAGGTATTTTTTAAATAATATTGGTGTTAGTATCATCGAAATTTGCTATTCGATTTTGGGAGCGAGGTGACAAAAAATTGCATATTAATATTAATATCTGAATCAATGCTTATCGAACACTTGTTAAATAACAATAAAAAAAATGATATGAAACACTGTTTCCAGTTTCATGTAAAGCTGATCCATAGACTTCACTAATTTTAGACATTGTCGGGAAAACGATAAAAAATAACGTGAATTATCCGTGCATTTACCAATAATGTCACACGTATATTGTAGCTTATTTTTTACTGTTTTCCCTCCAAATAAGGATGAAAAAAGTTCAAATGAAAAAGATGATCAATTAAAGGATAAATAAAATATAGTACAGAATTATTAATTTGTAATGAGCGTAATGCTGTCCGGAATACTTTCGAGAGAAGATATCCGAGGCCCGAAACCCTAAACTTCTCGAATCTAACTTTGGAAATTCAGTGTGCGGACGCAAGCATGTTACACCAAAAACGTGGGATCATTTTATATATTTTGTAAATTGGTTTTGACACAGATGAAGACTTTTTTAATTACCCAAATATATCCCTTCTAGTTAAAATATCTCTTATTATACCTCTTTCAAATGCTAATGTAGTAAGAATATTTTCCCAAACAAAGTTGATTAAGGATAAATTAAGGAACAAAATGAATCTTGATACATTAAATAATCATTTAATGATTTTATTAAATGGACCTGAAATTGAAGACTTTAATTTTGAGAAAGCATGTAAATATTGAGAAGATAAAAAATAGGAGGATTAATTCATAGAACTGTCGTGCGTGAAAATGAAATCTATGTGAATTTGCAATTCACGCGTGAAATTCAAATTAGCGCACAAATTAATTTTGGGCTTCGGTAACGGTTTATGTTTCTGGAAAGTTTAGGATTGAAATTTCCTTAAACTGGTTTCGATCACAACATTAAATAAATGTTGCTTTTATTATTATTGTTGTTGTTGCTTCAGCAAAAACAATGTTTCGTGACAACGCTATTTTGTGTTATATGTGTGATAAACCTATGGATTCAAATTGCGTGTTAAAGAGAGTTTGTTGAATAAATTAGGATTTCTCATTCCTTATGTGGTACTTGACAAATACAAATGAACTCACTCACTACAACTAATATTGAAGGATTAAATATTTTATATAATTATTTATTTATTAACTTTTTGAAAATGTCATATATCGATATTATTGCTGTCATGGGTATTGTTATTTAGATTAACCTTATTAATATTATCCTCATTACGAGAATTACTTATAATTTCTATAATTTCATTAATTTTACTATCATCACCATCATCATCGTTATCTTCTTTTTCTTTATTATTATTATTTTCAACAATATCTTCAACTTTATCAATATTAATAATAGTTATTCCATCATAATTAGTATTTTCATTTACTGCCGTAAATTGAATATGAATATTATCATTATTATTGGTTTTGTTGACGGGTTGATTTGAACCTCTTATACTATTACCGCTATAACAACTACTATAAATAGACGAATTGATTGAGCTTATTGAATTTGATGTATTTTTATTATGATTTAAGTGCGAGAAAGATTTATTTGTTATTATATCACCATCATCATCATCATTATCATCATTATTATTAGAATTTATTATCTTGGTAGGATTGGCGTTTTCTTTTTCTTCGTTCTTTTTGTTTTGTTCTTCTTCTTGTGGTTGTCCAGTGACTGCAACTATATTACTATTACTATTATTATCATTATTAGAAAATGAACTCTGTATTAAATTTGATGATTTTGATAAAGATGATTGATGATTTTTTAATGATGGTGATGGCGAAGGTGGCGTGTAATGAAATGGTGATGATGGTGGTGGTGATGATGGTGGTGGTGGTGGTGATGGTGATGATATTGGTGATGATGTTGGGAAATTTAATAATGTTTTTGGAGATGAATTTGGCGTTAATCGGAAAGTGTTGTTATTAAAATTCTCTGATCTAGAACCATCATGATTGTTATTTATCGAGTCTGAAGAAGATGGAATTTCTATACTTGATGATTTTCTTGTTTTTTTTAAATTTATTATTTCGACATTGCCTCTTTTTGAATAAGTGTTTTTTAAATTGTTATTGACGGTTGATGTTGTTGATGTTTGCACGAAGCTAATAACAAATTCGTCAAGATTTTTTGGTTGATCAAATAGACGAATTAACAAATGGTATTTTAATGTTTCAACTAAGGATGGCTTTGGAATTAAAAGCGGATTAGATAAATTGGATGATGAAAATCGCTCTTGATCTTGTTGATCTATCTCATTACTAATATTATTTGTTGTTGTTGGCTTTTTATTGGTGATTATTTCGTTATTGTCATCGTCATTCTCGTCATTAATGTTTAATACCATCATATCAAGTTCAATTGAATCTTTATCTTTATTATTATTATCATTATTACTATTATTATTATTATTTGTATTAGTTGACAATTTATTTGATCTTCTAATACTTGATTGAGATTTTATTAACGAATTATTATTACTATTATTATTATTATCATCATTATTATTACCATCATTGTTATTATTACCATCATTGTTATTATCATAATTATTATTACTATTACCATCATTGTTAATATTACCATTGGTTGCCGCTGAGATAGATTTATTATGTGATAGATGTGGATAAGATCGTTCATATTTATTAACATAATTATACCACCAATTCAATTTTATTAGATTATATGCTCTCTGAACCGCAATATCTTGCGAAAATGCAAAAGTATTCAATAGACCTTCGAATATATAAAATCGTAAGCACGCATATTGATTAATTAATGTATAAATTATATTTGATTATCTATCTCGTGTAAAAAAATAATGTTTACCTTGAATCGAAGCAGCAACAAAACCAAACAGTAATAGTTCATATTTAATGCTCTTACTAAAATACATATCGGTTTCAGCCAAGAAAGTTGGAGTTTGACTGATCAGAGGAACTACTGGAAACCACAACACCTTTCTAACCACCGATGTTATAAGTGTACCTCTTTTTAATAAAACATTAGTGCTAGTTTTTGCTAATGTCGCTGATTTAGCGTTATTTTTATCTTGAGCGTCGTTTATCTTTTTGTCATTATCTTTAAACGCTTTATTAAATTGCGAAGACGCATAACGTAATTTTAAAGTGACGGCGAACAGTATTATGATACAATATAACACAGAAATTTGTTGCCAAATAAACAAAGTTGACCATTGCCATACAATACTTAATGTTGTTCCGGAATAACGATACCAGCAAATCCTACATATTATATTTATGTTTATTAGTGATTGATGGCGAAACAAATAATTAGTGAAAAGAAGTTTAAACTTACTGT